GAGACAGGTCCTTGGAGAAGGACATCATGCTTGGGAGGGTGGAGGGCAGGCGCAGGAGGGGAAGGCCCTCTGGGAGATGGATTGATTCGGTGACTGGGGCAATCGGGATGAGTGTGTCGGAGACAATGAGATTGGCACAGGACAGAGCAGAGTTTAGAGCTGTTGTAAACAGGATTGCTATGAGTCGCAAGCGACTCGACAGCACATAACAACAACTATAAAAGAAATTCATGGAAGAGACAAAAGACAAAGAATGAAAGCCTGAGGGAAGGAATTGTTTCTGAAACGTTTTGGGGGTTTTGAAATTATTCGCCGAATGAGTAATTTTATACAGACCCTGATATGTGTTTAATAGGAAAATGAGTTCCAAATTTCTCTGTGGGCTCAGATTCCAGAGGAGTTTTCCCAATGCATCATTAAGTAATGTACTCCTTAATTATTATACCAATGGGTTAATAATACATGAATTCGTAATTAATAATGCAATAATACAAAAATATTTTACTAATAATATTTGTGCCAATATACTGAAATCAGTATATCATCACACCAATGAATTAATACTATCAATACATATGTTGTTTTGTACCATCAAGTCAGAAACAACCCATATCTTACCCTCCAGAAGGTTTTCAAAAACAGTTAATCACATGGGAGGAGATTGTCCATCCTTCTCCCACGGAGCAGCTCGTGGCCTCCAACCGTATGCCTTTGGGGTTGCAATGAATAAATAATGATTGTACAAATACATCAGAGAGCTGGACAATGACTAGGGAGAATAAAAGGAGAATTGATGCCTTTGAACCGTGGTGCTGGAGAAGAGTATTGAATATACAAGGGACTGCTAAGAAAACAAACAGGTTCATCCTAGAGAGGGTTAAACCAGGCTTTTCCATGGAGGCAAGGATTCTGAAGCTTCGTCTGACATACTTTAGATATGTTGCAGCAAAAAGGATGTTATGCTTGGGACGGTGGAGAGACAGCATAGGAGAGGAAGACCCTCTATGAGGTGGATTGATTCAGTGACTTCGGGTAATGGGGTAGGTGTATTGGAGACAGTGAGATCAGCACAGGATAGAGCAGGGTTCAGGGCTATTGTACATAGGGTCACTATGAGTCACAGGCGACTCGACGGCACATAACAACAACAACCATTAATATATTAATCATGAAGGTCATCAGAAAGGAAATGAAGAAGTGAAATGTAAACACAAAAGCCAAATCAACAGTTTAAATTAAAACACTAAAAAAGATAAATATTCTCCAACATGTTTTGTTTAACTTTAGCACTGACCATTCATTAAAGCATAAAATATACATAAGTACCATCAAAAACTGAGAAAATATAGAAAATGAAAAACCTAGCATTTAATTAGAAATTCACAGAGCTCACTCAGAACTATTGAACTAAATAGGAAAAAAAGTATAAAGTAATCGCTGTTATGTCTGTTTCAATGTCTGTTTCACTGTCACAAAAGTGGTTTCTTTAAGCCTTATAATAACCCTAGGAGTTGAGTTTTGTGGTGGCCGTTTGGTAAATGAGGGAACTAAAACTGCAAATTCAGATCCCATGTCCAAGAGCCTGTAGCTGCCCAGTAGTAGAGACAAGCTTGTCGGACCCATTGACGTCTTATTTCCTGAGATCACATTTCCCCTTCCATTCCATTGCATTGAGGATAGATGGGAAGACATCCTGCTGGAAGGGCTGACATAGGGCAACTTGCCAGCAGAAAGACAATTTCACAGAAATAAACTCTGCCCTGAAGGGAAAGGCGATAAAGTATTTACAAAAGCTGCATCACAAGATGATGAGCCCTCTCAGAGTGATGCCAGATTCAAAAGTCCTTCCCTCCCTTTTCAATAGAAAGCCCTGAATGATATAAAATGTTAAATTCTTGACTATTATCAAAAAGGTTGGTGGTACAAATCCACCCAAACATGCCTCAGGAAAAAAAGCAAGGCCTGTTGATCGACTTCTGAAAACTCAGCCTCTGAGAACACTCTGGAGCTCTTGGGCGCACAGGGGGATGGTGTGAGTCAGAACTGACTCAACGACTCGTGGGTTTGTGTTTATTTTGTTAGTAGCTCTCACGGTGTTTTGTTTCTGCATCCCGTACAAAAATGTGTGATTTCCATGATCCTCAAAGAGCTAGTGTTTCATTTTGGGTTTTCTTTCCTTTTCTTCAAACCATCAGCTAATGTCCTGGAAGGGGACTCCATGGATCAGGATGTGGAGAGCCCTGTGGCCATTCACCAGCCAAAGTTGCCTAAGCAAGCCCGGGACGACCTGCCAAGGCACATCAGCAGAGATCGGACCAAAAGGAAAATCCAGAGGTACGTGAGGAAGGATGGGAAGTGCAATGTCCACCACGGCAATGTGAGGGAGACCTATCGCTACCTGACTGATATCTTCACCACTTTGGTGGACCTCAAGTGGAGATTCAACCTGTTGATTTTTGTCATGGTTTACACGGTGACTTGGCTCTTCTTTGGAATGATCTGGTGGCTAATCGCTTATATCCGAGGAGATATGGACCACATAGAGGACCCCTCCTGGACTCCTTGTGTCACCAACCTCAATGGGTTCGTCTCTGCTTTTTTATTCTCAATAGAGACAGAAACCACCATCGGGTATGGCTACCGGGTCATCACGGACAAGTGCCCAGAGGGAATTATTCTCCTCTTAATCCAATCAGTGTTGGGATCCATTGTCAATGCATTCATGGTGGGATGTATGTTTGTAAAAATATCTCAACCCAAGAAGAGGGCAGAGACCTTGGTCTTTTCCACCCACGCAGTGATCTCTATGCGGGATGGGAAACTGTGCCTGATGTTCCGGGTGGGGGACCTGAGGAATTCCCACATTGTGGAGGCTTCCATCAGAGCCAAATTGATCAAATCCAAACAGACTTCAGAAGGGGAGTTTATCCCCTTGAACCAGACAGATATCAACGTAGGCTACTACACAGGGGACGACCGCCTATTTCTGGTGTCACCACTGATCATTAGCCACGAAATTAACCAACAGAGTCCTTTCTGGGAAATCTCCAAAGCCCAGCTGCCCAAAGAGGAACTGGAAATTGTGGTCATCCTAGAAGGAATGGTGGAAGCTACAGGTAAGACTTACTCCATGTTGAGATATGTGTGAAGGAGATGCTCATTTTAAAGCATGCACTAACTGGATATAACATTTCTATTTACTACAAAATATAAATAGGTGACTTTCATCCCCTATTGATGTTACCGTTTCACATTATGAAGTACTATGCCCGCATGTCCTGTTACCTTGAGTATATCCACCAAGAATTCTAACCATTCAACTTTTTTAATACTCTTTGGAAAGTAAATTAATACACATTAAAAAAAAACATTTTAGTGTATTTCACATTTTTGAGTAGTTATTTAAATTAAAACTCAATCTGTCTCTAAAGTATGTTTAATATTACTTTAAAACATTGCTAATCTTGAGGTTATTTATTACCGAGGCAAGAGGAGGAAGGCAAGCCTTTCAAAGGAAGCCTGACAAACTGCTTTAATTAAAAAATGCTTATTTCTTTGGGAGCCGTTCACAAGACCTGTAGCATGCTATCTGCTACGCTTCATTTCTATCAAGTGGGCATTTTGTCCCACTATCCCCATCTCATCTCACTGCCAAGCACCAATTAGACATTGTAGACCAGCAAATGATAACAGAAAACTGAAGGAAACCACGGTATGTTCTACTGTTAACAGTTAATCACTGTTGTGTTTTAGGGAGATGATCTTTCTCAAAATAGAGAACTTGGTCTGTTTGTAATGAAGTCATTTGTTGTTGATGCTCACTCATACCTGAACTTAACACATCTGCCCCTTCCAACAGAAAAACATATTCTGCTCCTATTTATCTGTATTGTCCCACAAAACAGAGCCATAGCCCCCTACTTAAGGTAAAAGTCAAAAATCTACTGTCATCAAGTAACTTCTGACTCTCAGTGTGACTCCACCGAGTTTCTGATCCTGTAAATCTTTATGGGAGGAGATTGCCCATTTTTCTCCTGAGAAGCACCCGATTTATTCAAACTGCCACCCTTTCAGTAAGCCGGCCAACACCTAAGGCACTAAGTTAACTGTCAGTACAATTGTAAACTAGAGCCCTAATTCACTAACTCCTTTACTGTTCTTCTGAGTGGCTGCTACTTGCCTTGGGTTTTAACATCTCTCAGTATGTTGTTGTCAGGGAGCCATAGAGTTGGCCCCTGACTCATGGTGACCTGATACACAACAGAACAGTACCCACGGCCTCGTGACTGCTTGTACATGGATCCATGGTGATCCACAAGTTGGTCCACAGTTGATTTTTGGAAGTAGATCGCAAGGCTTTTTTTTTTTCTTCTTTCCTAATCTGCATTAATCCTCAAGTTCCACTGAAGCTGGCGCCACCACAGCCACACTTAAGCCTTCGCTGAAGGGCAGAAGCTGCACATAAATTGTACTATCCAGGAACTGAACTGGGTCTCCTGTCCAGAGAGTGAGAATTCTTCTTTGGGATTATCTACCAATCAACCACCACTGCATCTTTATATTTAGTTACACAGTCTGTTCGCTAATGCAGTCAAGGAGTGCAGTCTTCAATATAGATTAAAGCTCAACTTCAAGAAAACAAATAAGCTTACCACTTAAGCAAATTGGCATCATGATAGACAGAGAAGAGATTGTGATTGCCAACAATTTTAGCTTACTTGGCTCCACAATCAATACTCTTGGAACCAGCAGCCAGGAAGGAAATCAAAAGACAAGTTGGATTAAGGAAAGTCTGTTGTCAGGGACTTCTCCAGAGTGTTGAAGTACAAAGATGTCAGTCTAGAGACCAAGGTGCACCTGCCCCAGGCCATGGTCTTCTCAATTATTTGCTATGCATCAGAGAGCTGGGCAATGATTAAGGATGACAGTAGAGGACTTGATGACTTTGAGTTGTGATGCTGGAGAAGAGTATTGAACATACCTTGGATTTCCAAGAGAATAAACAGGTCTGTTCTGGAGAGGGTGAAATCAACTTGGTCTCTGGAGGCAAAGATTTTAAAGCTCCATCTCACATATTTTGGGTACATGGCCAGGAGGGACCAGTCCTTGGAGAAGGACATCATGCTCGGAAGGGGGGAGGGACAGTGCAGGAGAGGAAGACTCTGGATGAGATGGATTGATACAGTGACTGGAGTAATAGGGGCAGGTGTGTCAGAGTCAATGAGATTGGTTCAAGATAGGACAGAGTTCAGAGGAATTGTGTATAAGATTACTATGAGTCGCAGGTGACTTGATGGCACGTAAAAATGGCAGTACCTTAAGCGTAAGTTTTAGGAATTCTGTAGCATTAATAAGGAACCCTGGTAACACAGTGGTTCAAGAACTCAGCTGCTGACCAAAAGGTCAGTAGTTTGAATCCAAAAACCAGCCATTCTGCAGGAGAAAGATGAGGCAGTCTGCTTCTGTAAAGATTTACAGCTTTATTGTAGGGTAGTTCTGCTCTGTCCTTCAGGAATGCTTATGAGTCAGAATCCAGACAGCAGTAAGTTTGGAATCCTGGGGTCAGAGTTGTGTGTGAGTGTAGAGGGTAGGGAGGAGAGACTGTTGAGGAAGAAGGAAACCAGTTGCACTGGTGGGCTGATTCTGACTCTTGGTGATATCACATAGGGACTTCAGTGGCTGAGTTTTTAGAAATAGATCTCCGGGTATTTCTTTTGAGGCATCTCCAGATGGGCTCAAACCTTCAGACTTTGAATCAGCTGCCAAGTACATCAACTCCCCACACCACCCAAAGACTCCTGAGAAGAAAAACTAAAAACAAATAAAAACCCTCATGACTGTAGAATAAGAGCCAACCCTCTGTCTGAGATAGCCCTCCACGGGGTTTCCAAAGCGCGGGAGATTGGCCATCGTTCTGAAGAACTGCTGGTGGATTCAAATCGCCAGACAGTTAGAGCTTTGGGGTTAGGAAGTGCAACTCCCTAAGGACAAAACCAGAGCTTCCTGAGAAGGAAGATCAGGGAGGAAATTTATGCATCAGGGACCCATCCTTTCCACAGACCTGAGACTTCAATCTCACCCAGCACAGGAACTCGGGGTCCCCCTAGTGGTCACCACTGAAGTGCATGCTTGGCAACATAACACTAACCGCTCTGGATATATTTTCTGTTACATTCTCACTATAAACTCCAAATAGGACCAGAAGGACAGCAGTGAACAAATCTTCTTAACCTTATATCTTGAAGCTCAGAAAACATAAGCGACTGTAAATGTCCTCTCTGATTCCTGATGTTAATCTGAGCTTCAAATTGCAGGGTATCAGGGTGTAGTGTTCTCTCCACCCAAAGCCCACTCTCAAAAACAAGCTAAGTGAATATGAACTAAGTGCATTATCTTCATGATGTACCTGAGTCAAAATGCTACTGAGAGCAGACCTTGTCTTTCTGACTATGGTTGTAATGAGAGAGCCTTCCCAAAGGTATGAATATCATGTTGCTGATAATTAACAGTGATGCTTGCCTCTGAGCTTTTGATGGCCCTTCCATCATTTTCTGAGAGACTGGGTGGTTGTCAGCAAAAAGGAACAAAACTTTCACCCTCATTTCTGTGAAAAGGCCTTAGCATGGTGAAAGTGGTTAACATCCTCAGTTGCTAAGTGGAAGGTTGAAAGTTCTAGTCCATTCTATCTGCTTCTGAAAAGCAATCACTGACAGCCTCTTGGAGAAGAGTTCTACTCTGACACATATTGGGTCAAAGCCTCAACTGACTTGGACAAATTTTCTAAAAATTCTTTTCTAATTCTTGGAAAGCACAGGAAAGAAAGGACATTCTGGAAAGTTCTGAGAGCCTCATTATATTAACGACAGTGCATTGGGCCTTTCCTGAAAGAATTCATCTATGCCTGCTCTAGAGATTCTACGTAGCATTTTTTCTTTGTGAATGAACAGCACAATTGGGATTTATAGACATTAAATAGACCTCCCTGGGTGTGTGGGGAATATGCTTTGATATATCAAAGCCACAGGAAAGAGGCCAAATACACAATGAGGGGAAACAAATCCACCAGTGTCTATTCTTTGTAGTACTGGATGGGACATCAGGAACCAAGACAGAAGAGCTTCCACTTTGCAGATTCCTTTATTCTGAAATGCCTTCGGTGACCTTAAACAACCTTAAACAATGCTCAATGATGCATTTAGAGGAACTTAGTCCAGGATGAGTTCACGCTGCAGCCACGAACAGAGCCCGCTTCCTCTCACATGTGTAGTTGGCTCACTGTCACCCCAACATAGTATTTTCTGAAACTACGAGTTATTCTATGCCAGACCAATCTCCCATGTCCACCATCCCTGGGTGCTCCTGTCCACATTTGATGAGGGTTGCACTGGTGCATTGTTATGGATTGAATTGTGTTCCTCCTAAAAAAATGCATTAGCATCCTAGCCCCTATACCAGTAGATGTAATTTTGGGGAGAAGTAGGATTTCTCTGTTACATTAATAAGACCATATTGATGTGAAGTGTATCCATCCTCAACCTAATCACCCCAAAGTGGTCTGAAGGAGCAGTTTAGACACAGAGATAAACCATCACGCATGGACAGAAGTGAGGGTCACCATGAAACAGGAATGTCAGAACGACCCACCTGGAGGCTACAGTTGCTGACAGCCAAAGTCTTCTCCAGATCCAGCTGAATAAGAGAGCCTGTTCCTAAAACCTGTGCCCTGAATTTTTACTTCCCAGCTCCAAAAGTACAAGAAAACAATGATCTGTTCGTTAAAACCACCCTCACGTGTGGTGTTTCTGCAATGCAGTGCTCAGAAGCTAAGACTTAGTGCATAATCAACGCATGCATTGATTTCCATTGGGTTCCAGTACCAGCTGCACTGGGGCAAGCTTACCCTGCCACAGCATTCAGGGTCAAGTTCATCTCTGAAAAAAACGATAGTAAGCTCTTTGAAGGCAGGAAATAATCCTGAAGGCCCTGACCTGAGCCCCCCATTCAGTGCATCCTTGTGACCACCAGAAGGGATGGTTTGGCTTGGTCCTTCCAGAAGTCAGAAGGATGTTTGTGGTGACCTCTCAAGAACCTTCCAATCATGTGACTCTATTTTTGG